AGAGAGAGACATCCCAAGCTCTCTGCCACAGTGCTTGGAGGACAGAAGCTCTGTGCATTGATTCTAGCTCGGTTGTGCTCTCCTCTCTGAAGAGACTGAGGGCCCTCGTATTTCCTTGTAGTTCAGATTGATTGGGCAGATCTGATCTGATAATTGGGCAGAAACTGTTTTTTTCTTTTTTTTTTTTTGTTTATTTCCTTGCTATCTTTAATTTCCTTATTATTCTAGACATACTATTCTACACTTCAGAAAGTACATTTGTTTTCTTACAAAATTACTTCATGGCATAGAAATTTTGAATTATGAATTTGATTGCTGTGTCTTTTGGGAAAAAAAATTATGTGAATACTAGTGAGATTAAACCAAGTATATATTATTATTACAGAGTTTTATGTAAGTCATTTTTTTTAGGTGAAAATACTGCATGGACATGACCGCATTCTCTTGAATGTGAATGGGCTGTTAGCTGAAAGCTTTATGTACTGCAGAGTTCCATGATACATTGTTGCTTTCAGTTCAAAAGAAAATGGTCCTAAGAGCACAGAAATGAATGACAGTGTGTTAGGGGACACATACTAAAATAATCTTTGTTTACTGGAGCTTCAACTTGCAGGCAAAAATATCATTTAGCTGTGATAACAGAAATTACATTTCAATCAATATGCTCTTTGCTATTAGTCTGTTTTTCCTCTTTCATCTGAAGAGGCCCTAATAGCATGTTAGACAAACCATACTGTTTAAAAACTAATTTCAAATAAAAAGGCTTCTAATCCTTGCAATTTCAGGCATACATTTTGCAAAAACAAGATAGAATTTCTTTTTCAGGAGTGTTGAGGATGGGGAACTGCATGGAGAAGGGGAGCTTTCTCACCTAGCAGACTCTGTTAATCACTGGCATTGACTGCTTGTGTTGTAACTGCCTTGCAACCTTCTCGGAGGTCTTCTGTAAGGTCTCTATTGTGCACCAGACTTCTTGTCTCTTCTGACCACATTGGTCCATGTCTTGTGTAATTGCAAGCTAAAGCTTTCATATTTCATGCAGTGTCAGCCTGGCTGTCTCCCCACCTGTTTTTAATGTGTTATGGAGAACACTTCAGGTTTCTTTTTTCTCTGCCACAGCTACCAATTATTCTCTCCGTTTGGCTTATTTTCATGCCTTACCAAAAAGGGTGCTAGACCAACAACTTCATGTTTTTTTCCTGGCTCTGCCACTAGTTTACTGGAGTGTTGGCAGGACTTGGTGAAGGTAGTCCCCTGTTTGTTCTTTAATTTACTGAATGAGAGTTTATTGTTGTATGAGGGTGCAATTTAAACGTATGTTAGGGAGTCCCTTGAGACAGCCATTGTGGGTAAATTTTTATTTATTTATAATCATACTACAGGACAAATCATTTCCCAGGCTTCAGGATTATATTCATCTTGCTTAGTTTAGGCATCTAAGACTATCTAAAATCTAGCAATCTGGGATTCTTTTGTCTAGAAGGTGGCACTTARGTTAATTTTTAAGATGGATGTGATGATCTACCCCCACAGAAATGCCTGGATGTATTTCACTAATTTATATGTAGAGTCTACGTGGACTATTAGATGTTAGCAACTTATTTTAGATATTTGGAAGTTAAACCGTATGAATCCTATACTCTGTGACAACAGCTAATCTTGCTTTCAGTAGTCAGTAATAGGTAAAGTCARCATAAGAAATCCCATCTACCTTATGATCTAGTAGAACATTCAATTTTCCAAGTTTTGTCTGTCATGTAATTTATGGTAGGATCTTGTGTTCAGTATGCGAATACACATTGCAAGATGGCTTTTCTTTTGAGTATCAAAGCATAACAGTGGGGAGAAAAAAAATTGTCCAATTTTATTAGTGTAGCATTYTTCCCAGAGTGTGGCACTGTTACTTAAGCAGAGTCTTCTGAAGGCTGCCAGTTTAAAAATGGGAACCAAATCTGTCCATTCAGATGTAACACTGATTGAACATAATGTCCTCTTGCTTGCCTGTAACACCTTTCAAAGAAAAGTATGATTCCCAACAATATATAGTTAATAATACCATATATCTAAACCAATTCTGCAAACCGAAGGAAAAAAAGAAATAAATTACAGCACTTGTTTAGATTAAATTGCATTAAGATCATATTCATTTCAATCTGTTTATAATAATTTTATGTATATATTAAGCACAGTTGAAGAGGCAGCAATTTTAATTATGTGTTTAGAGTACAATGATTTTAATTCTATTAAATATTGTTTACATTTCATAAATGCTGTTGTTCGTAGCAATGATGTAGTATGGTATGTATTATGTCTGCCCTCTATCATATGTGAAATGCACTCTATTACCAAACTAAAAGTTTATTGACTCATCTGTGTGCTTTTAGTTTTCAAAATGCAGGTTTACTGGACAGTRAGGTTGCTATGCAATATTTTGATGCTAATTTCAAGGTTTTTAAGCAAGAATAGAAATATATACTGTGCATGACTGAATATTAAGGATGTTCTTCCTGCCAAGTGACTATGTTATTTAATATGATGTGATTGATATTGATGAAAGAAATTAAACTTTYGGAGTCATACTATGATCTAAGTGCTGGCAAATGCCATGTTTTTATCACTGTATCCTTAAAGTTTTGCTATATTGGCACAAATCTCATGACCCCTTCCTGAAGAGGAAAAATAAAAACATTAAGTCCACTTGTATTCTCTGTGATTGCCCATTAAACACCAGAGTAATTGCTCAAGGAGTGATTTTTTTTCCAATCTGAAGGTGTGAAGGTCCTTGATTTTGTAGAGCTTGGAGGAATATTTAGCTGCAGTTTATTTGTTACATGGTCTGATGATCTCTTGGGCTCAATAGTTAGAACTTTYGTGAGTGACTGGTTACTAAGAAAATCCTATAGATTTATATATTCATTTGTGTACTTTTTTGTGTATTTTTATCTCAAGCAAAGAGAAATTTTCTCCTTGAAATCAGTCACTGCAATGTGTTCT